CTTTTTTTTTTTTTGAGATGGAGTCTTGCCTTGTTGCCTAGGCTAGTGTGCAATGGAGTGATCTTGGCTCACTGCAACCTCTGCCTCTGGGGTTCAAATAATTCTCCTACCTCAGCCTCCCAAGTAGCTGGGATTACAGGTGCCCACCACCGCACCCAGGTAATTTTTGTGTTGTTTTAGTAGAGATGGGGTTTCACCATGTTGGCCAGGCTGGTCTCTAACTCCTGACCTCAGGTGATCCGCCTGCCTTGGCCTCCTAAGGTGCTGGGATTACAGGCACTTATTATTATTATTATTTTTATTTTTAATAAAATGCAAGTTTCTTTTTGTTATTGTGGCGATTGTTGTTTTTAATCTCCAAAGTGTTTTTGAACCCCATCATTCTGTGGTTCTACAGCTTTACTGCCATGCCAAGCAAGTCTCAGAATGTTGGCACGCTGACCATTACTGCTTCCCTCCCTGCCCTCCATTCTTTTATAAAGGCTGACCAAAGATACCCATGCTGGTCCTGTGCTGGGCTAGAACACTCTCTCCTCATAATATTCCAAAGAGATAGACATTATTTTGATTTTATGGATAAGGACTCATCCAAGTACACACACCAGCAATCCACACTGGGAATTCTAATTGAGGCTTACCTCTAAAATCTAGGTTGTTCATGAATATGTGACATGGCTTCTCTACTTTATGTTGGTTTCTACTGGCCACTGGCAAATACTGCTCTTTCTTGGGGCTGGTAGAGTGGTGGGAATGGTGTCTGAAGTGGAAAGAAGGCACTAGGTTTAGACCCATGTGCCACGGAGGCCCTTGGAAGGGGTCAAATTGCATTGGACTTATGGCTCCACTCTTTTCCAGCTACTGCTCCAAGTGGGGCAACAAATGCAGATTTTCCTGCTAAGAACTTGTGGAGAATCCCAACAGGTTGTACTTCTTTTGACGCATAGAGTTTTATGTGCCAGCAGCTGCCATAACACAAACACAGTCCCTTACTAACTCTGCTCTCCTAGGTCGCTTTTCCTGCCACGTGGCCTCCCTGCCCACGTCCCCTGGGAGGTGGCCGTAAAGCTGAGATGGGGGCGGCTGCAGTTGCTGCCTCTGGCTGACGTTCAGCTGGAGCAGGCAGGGTTGTTCAAGCTTGGAAGAATCACCGCTAGGATTATTTGGGTTTGTGGTGGGGAAGCGGAGGGCAGTCCCTTTTAAGAGCTTTCCTTTTACATTCCAGCCATCCACCCCCTGAAATCTTTCAATCATTCATTCATGTATTCATTCAAAAACTATGTAACATGATCCTTTTCTGTGTCAGGCACTGTTCTAGGCACTAGAGATCCAGTGGTGAACAAAAGGGGCATGTTCCCTGCTCCCAGAAAATTAACGTTTTAATTGAAGGGTTGGGGGGATTTGAAGTTAAGCAATCAGACAAATAAATGCATAATATAATGTGAGGTAGTGCTGAGTGTCTCAAAGAAAATAATGATATGGAGCCAAAGAGTGACAGAAATGCTATTTTAAGCTGGGTGTCAGGAGAGGTCTCCCTGAGGGAATGACAGACACTTAGATGTAGTCAAGGAGGAAGCTGTGGAAATCTCTGGGGGAGAGTGGCCCCAAAGAGGGAGGAGAAAGTGCTAGGTTCTGAGATAAGAAAGTGCATGGCACTTCGGATGAGCAGTAGGAAGCCAGGGTACCTGGAGGTTGAGGAGCAAAGCAGATGTAACATGGAGTTGCAGGGACAACACAGACCATGCAAGTGCTTAGGATTTTTTTTTTTTTTTGAGATAAAATCTCACTGTCACCCAGGCTGAGTGCAGTGGCATGATTACGGCTCACTGAAGCCTTTTCTCCCGGACTCAAGCAAACCTCCCACCTCAGTCTCCCAAATAACTTGGACCACAGCTGCACACCACCACTCCTGGCTAATTTTATCCTTTTTGTAGAGACTAGCTCTTGCTGTGTTTCCTGGACTGGTCTTGAACTCCTGGATTCAAGGGATCCTCCTGCCTCAGCCTCCTAAGGTGCTGGGATTACAGACATGAGCCACCATGCCTGGCTGGAATTTTATTTTAAATATGATGTGAAGCTGTTGGAACATTTTGAAAAGGGAAATGACACAATGAGATTTATGTTTAAAATGATCTCCATGGCCATGGAGAGTGTAAGGAGCTTAGGGAAGGAGCAGGGAGATCCATCAGGAGGCCATTACAAAAGTCCAAGCCAAAAGTGAGGGTGGCTCAGGCTCATGATGGGTCCAGGTGGACAGAAGTAGCAGGATTCGGGATTTTTACAAAGATAGAACCAACAACATTTGCTGATAGATTGGATGTCGGATGTGTGAGAAAGACAGCAGTTAAGGATGACCCTCAGGTTTTTGGTTCTAAGGGTTGAAAACTGTAATAGGCTGAATAATGGCTACACAAAGAGATTCTGTCCTAACCCCTGGAACTTTTAATATTTGAAAAAAGAGTGAATTTTATCTTATATGGTAACAAATCTCATTAAATATTTTGGAGTTATTCCAGATTATCCAGATGGGATCAGGATGCCATTTAGTGTCTCTACATGAGAGAGGCAAAAGGGGGCTGGGTGTGGTGTCTCATGCCTCTAATCCCAGCACTTTGGGAGGCCAAGGTGGGAGGATCATGAGGTCAGGAGATCGAGACCATCCCGGCTAAGACAGTGAAACCCTGTCTCTACTGAAAATACAAAAAATAAGCAGGGCATGGTGGCAGGTGCCTGTAGTCTCAGCCACTCGGGAGGCTGAGGCAGGAGAATGGCGTGAACCCGGGAGGCGGAGCTTGCAGTGAACAGAGATCGCACCACTGCACTTCAGCCTGGGCAACAGAGCGAGACTCTGTCTCAAAATAGATGAAAATAAATAAATAAATAAATAAATAAATAAATAAACGAATAAATGGGAGATGACACACACCTGAAGCAGGATGCCATGCAAAGGGGAAGGCAGGATTTGGAGCGACGCAGCCACAGCCAGGGAATGCCACACCAGCAGCCACTGGAAGCTGGGAGAGGCAAGGATCTGCTTCTTCCTTTGAGTTCCTAGAACAGGGGTGTCCAAACTTTTGGCTTCCCTGGGCCACATTGGAAGAATTGTCTTGGGCCACACATGAAATACACTAACATTAATGATAGCTGATGTGCTAAAAAGAAATCACAGAAAAGTTTCATTATGTTTTAAGAAAGTTTACAAATTTGTGTTGGGCCGCATTCAAAGACGTTTTGGGCTGCATGTGGCCCAAGGGCCGCAGTTCGGACAAGCTTGCCCTAGAATGAGGGCAGCTATGCCAACACTGGATTCCAACCCAGTGAAACGGGTTTTGGACTTCTGGTTCCTAGAACGAAGAGATAATACATTTCTGTTTTAAGCCATCAAATTTGTCAGAACTGCCATAGTAAAAGAACACAATGCAGGAAAAGATTCAGCAAAGGTACGTGCAGCAAGACAAAGGCCATCGGTATATTAGGCCACTCATAAATGAAATGGGACACTGAGAAGTGGGCAAGAACTGCAAAAGGCATGGGAAAAACCAGGACCTTCAGTTGGAGGAGAGGGAGGGGCAGGTAGAAAAAGCGGAAAGAGGGGGAGGAGTTGGAATAAGCTGTTGTCTCTGGGCTGTGGCGCCTTGGCCAGATAAGCATCTTACCTTAGTCCTGAGACAGGCTTACAATTCAATCCAAATTGGATTTTTTATGCATTAATTAAGCTTTGCTGAAACTGTGCTTTTCTTCTTTCAAGTCTAAATTCAAGTCTTGAAATGATTCCTTGGCTTAAATTAGATGGTTTTCCAGTGCTGCTTTCTTTCTACTCAAAGTTGACTTTCACTGACTGGCAATAACCAATTATTTGTGTGATTTGTTTGCATTTGGATTTAGCCTGATTTAACAGGGCAAGCAGACTAGCCTCCCTGTCTCAATCCCCGCCTGCCAACCCACCGACACCATCCTTTCTTGGAGTTCCTGTAGCCTGGAGTTTAAGGTCTTTTTATGTATTTGAGGGTACAATTTTAATAAGAAGTATTATTTATTTATTTATTTATTTATTTATTTATTTTGAGACAGGGTCTTGCCGTGTTACCCAGGCTAGTCTCAAACTCCTGGGCTCAAGCAATTCTCCTGCCTCGGTCTCCCAAAGTGCTGGGATTACAGGTGTGGGCCACTGTGCCTGGCCGATAATTTCTTTAAAGTACTGCTTTTCAGTCACTTTCCACCTATCCTATTCGAACAGCAGTAGGTTCTCTGATTTTTAAAATAACTGTTGTGTTGAATTTCTTAAGCTCACTGAAGTCAAGGGAGTTGGGTTCATTCTGGGTGAGTCTGGGTTCAAAATCAGTGCTCCCTCCATTCCCTAGAGCCATCTACACAGGCAGAGAGCCTACTCTATCTCGGTCAGGACATGGTCCTAATATTTGCTGCCAAAATCCCTTCCCTTTGAATTTGCTTTTCTTAGACATCTGTTCCTTTCTCTGCTACCTTTGAGCTGTTGGCCTGTGGTGTGTATTGAATGTATCTTTTCATGTTCTCCACATGCCCACCTCTCCCACCCCAGTTAACGAAGATCACGCCAATCCCTTCTAAGTGACTGACTTTTCAGTGTATTTTAGAGGAAGGCTGGGGTGGTGGGTGGGGCACTGGGCTAGGAGTCGGGACTCTATCACACAGTGGCCTGAATTCAGATGCTGGCTCTGCCACTTATTTCTGAGTGGCCTCAAACAATGTTTGTAACCTTTCTGGTTAAAATCAGCTGTGTTCCAATTGACCTTAGCTCTGGCCTTTGCTAACATTAAATGAGTGTTGTCACCACTCTGAGCTTTAATTCCTTCACATAGAAAATAAAGAGATCAGATAGACCAGATAATTGCCACATCTTCCAAATCCACGATTCTACAGTTCTAGTAGGAAGCAAGGAAACAAAACATTTCAGTTTCTTGTTTGGTATAAATGAATCATCTTCTTCTTTGAAGTCCTTGTTAATCAACTTTTCCATATGCCAGAATTCATCACTCTCATTGGGACTTGTGAAAATGGGAAAACATCTGAATAATGGCTATTGCTGGGGCTTTGGAACCAGATGGACCTATCTTCTTCCTCGGCCGCATGCAGATCCTGGACACCTGGACAAGGTACTTAGCACCCTAAGTGGCAGTTTCCCAGTTTGTAAACTAGGGTTAGTAACTGAACATCCCTCACAGAGTTATTAGAATGACTAAGTGAGATAATTTATGTATAGACAAAATGCCTTGCCTCTAAAAAAAATTCAGCGATGTTAAACTATTGCTTTCTTTTTATCTGCTTGTTTGTTGAAATAATTTATATGTGGTGAAGTGTCCACATTTTATACACCTCAATAGATCTTTCCATCTATATATGTAACTATGTAACAACCCCTAGAACAAGATACAAAACTTTTCTAGCACAACAGAAAGCTCACTTTTACTCCCTTTCAGTCAATATCCAACTCCCACCAAAGTAACCAATTTTCTGACCTGTATCACCATAGATTTGTTTTTCTTGTTCTCATTCACATCTCTCTCTCTCTCTCTCTCTCTCTCTCTAATCTCTATTTATTTTTGAGACAGAGTCTCACTCAGTCACCCAGGCTGGAGTATAGTGGTACGATATTGGCTCACTGCAACCACCACCCCCCCGGTTCAAATGATTCTCATACCTCAGCCTCCTGAGTAGCTGAGACCGCAGGCACGTGCCACCACACCCGGCTCATTTTTGTATTTTTAGTAGAGATGGGGTTTTGCCATGTTGGCCAGGCTGGTCTTGAACTCCTGATGTCAAGTGATCGGCCCACCTCCGCCTCCTAAAGGCTCATTACAGGCATGAGCCACCACACCTGGCCACTTCACATGAATATAATCATACATTTTGTGATCTTTAGCGTCTGGCTTCTCTCAATCAACACTATATTTTTAGTGAGATTCATTCATGTTGCTGCAAGTAGCAATAACATTTTGGTCTTCATTGCTGTATAACATTCCACTTATTGTATACCATAATTTATTTAAATACTGTTCTATTTATGGACATTTGAGTTGCTTCCATTTTTTTGCTGTTAAAAAATAATTTTCAATGCGCTACTTACGCATGTCTTTGGTGTATGTAAGCACTCATTTCCATTTATATATACCCAGAAGTGAAATTGCTAGGGCATAGAATATTTGTGAGGTTAACTTTAGTGGATCCTACCACGCAGTTCTTGGCAGTACAAGCAGTGCAAGTGCTTGTAACAGTTTACATTCCTCCCAGCAGCGTGTAAGGTTTCCAGTTGCTCAGCTGTTTCACCATCACTGGGTTTTCTGAGTTCTTTTCATTTTAGTCATTCTAATGGCAATAGAGTAGTGTCTCATTGAGCTTTCAATTTGCATGTTCCTGATGACTAATAATGTTGATCACTTTTTCTTGTGCTTTTTGTCCATTTTGATATCCTTACTTGTGAAGTGTCTATTCAGGTCCCTCACACCTCAAAAATGTTAGCTATTATTTTGTATCATACTAATTGTGCTTTTAAGTTATCTGTATAGCTATCTATTCTCCCAGTAGACTATAAGCTCTTTGATATGCAAGGTCTATGTGTCACTCATTTATGAATTCTTACTGCCTAACAAAGACTCATGTTATACATTTGTTGAATACATGATCAAATGTCTAGGACTCAGCAGATCGTGGCAAAATGTCGCCATCTGGTGTCTGCAGCGAATGAGATGTGGCGGATGCAAAGCCAGCTGGCTGGATAATTCATTAGGCTTTCCACGTGAGCTTTCTCTTATGTACGATTTAAAACATATGTATAGATTGCAAATTGCCTCTGCATACTTGATTTTTAAAATATTTTCTGTATGTACTTTCATTTTTAAAAACTCAATTTAAAGTGCAAACTTGTGGAACAGAAAAAGTTCCACAATGACTAAATTCTTTACTAAACAATTTACTAAACTAAATTCTTTAGTAATTGTTCACATTTTCAAGAGTTGGGTGCTGTATTCATAGGTAAAACAGTTAATCAGTACTTACTATATTCTAGTCCTGAAGTTTATTCAAGAGACATGAGGTGCTCATAGGCTAGTAAGGAAGAAACAAAAAAAATCAGCCTGGAGTATTATAATAAATGCCTTAAAGTAGGTATCTGTTCATTCATTCACTCACTCATCGTTCAACATATATTATTGAGCATTTATTCTGTACCAGACATTGTCACAGGTACTATAAACCCAAATGTGTGTGTCTTGAAGTGTGACTGCTCTAAGAAAACCTATAGTAAAAATATATATATAATTTTTCAAGGATTTGGAAGTTAGGTATGTTTTCCTTTGAGTATAAACTGCTGTAGACAGTGGGCCATGTGAGACCCCAGCTTCTATTAGGGTTACACATAGAACAAGATGGCCCTAGTTGAAAATACTTTTCCATAAATGTGTTACTGAGGTGGGGAGGAGGTGGCGAACTTCACTGCTCTTCACAACTCTTTCTTCCCTCTACTCACTGCTCCTCAATGCACCACCAAGACAAATGATAACAATGGATGGATCAGGTTTATTTGTTTGCTTTTCGAGACAGGGTCTTGCTCTGTCACCCAGGCTGGACTGCAGTGGCGTGATCACAACTCACTGTGGCCTCAACCCCAGGCCCAAGCAATCCTCCTACCTCAGCCTCCTCAGTAGCTAGGACTATAGGCATGTGCCACCATGCCCAGCTGATTAAAACAAAATTATTTTGTAGATATGGGGTGTCACCATGTTGCCTAGACTGGTCTGGAACTCCTGAGCTCTAGCACTCCTCCCACCTCAACCTCTCAAAATGCTTGGATTATAGATGTGAGCCACCGCACCTGGCTTGAGTGTGAGCCACCGTGCCTGGCTTGAGTGTGAGCCACTGCGCCTGGCTTGAGTGTGAGCCACCGCACCTGGCTTGATCAGGTTTAGAAATTTTGTAGTGCCCATGGGTAAAGTCTCTGTCCAGGTTACAGGCTAGAGCTCACATGGGTGTGACCTCCCAGTCACTGACACATTGTTAGAGAACATAGGCTGGGGTGGTGATACCCTTCTGACAAAGGCCAGTAGTGGGTTTCTTAGGCTGGCAATATTTTAAGCACTGGGAAATATGATACCACACCTTTCCTCTTACACTTTTTTTTTTTTTTTTGAGACAGGGTCTCTCTTTATCACCCATGCTGGGGTACAGTGACACTATCACGGCTCATTGCAGCCTCAACCTCCCAGGCTCAAGCAATCCTCCCATCTCAGCTTCCTTAGTAGCTGGAGCCACAGGTGTGTGCCACCACATCCAGCTAATTTAAAAAATTATTTCTTAGAAACAGGGGTCCCACTATGTTGTCCAGGCTGGTCTGGAACTCCTGGGCTCAAACGATCCTCCTGCCTTAGCCTCCCAAAATGCTGGGATTACTTGGATGAGCCACTGCACCTCTGATGCTTCTTGTGAGCAGATGTATTCTGCATTTCTTCACAGCAGTTCACAAAAAGTGTCTATGACCTCATCACCCAACTTTTTTTTTATTTTTATTTTTTTGAGACGGTCTTGCTCTCTCGCCAGGCTGGAGTGCAGTGGCGCAATCTGGGCTCACTGCAACCTCCGCCTCCCTGGTTCAAGTGATTCTCCTGCCTCAGCCTCCCAAGTAGCTGGGATTAACAGGAACGTGCCACCACGCCCAACTAGTTTTTGTATTTTTAGTAGAGACGGGGTTTCACCATGTTGGCCAGGATGGTCTCGATCTGACCTCATGATCCACCCGCCTTGGCCTCCCAAAGTGCTGGGATTACAGGCATGAGCCACCACACCTGGCCATCACCCAACTTTTACACTTTCTCCTACACTTCTTCTGACGTTACAATGCAACAAACGTTTATTTATTTCCTAATATAAACCAAACATTCTGCTAGATGTTGGCAAACAAAAATGAAAGACAGTGTTTGCCTTCCAAGAGAAAAGGTAACAGATGATTAACATATGTAAAGGGCTATGATAGAAGTATGTGAAGGAAAATATAAGAGCTTGCTTCTTGGATGAAGTCTTAAGAATAAAAAGGAATTATCCGGCAAGAGTGGGTAAGAGTAGGGGATGGATGGTAGGAGCTGCACGAGCAAAGGGTGTGTGTGCAGAGCTGTTTGCATTCCATCTTCAACATGCTGGGGAGCCATTTTAACCCAAGAAGTAACAGATACAAATACATATTTTAAAAATTTATTGGCAACCATATGAAGGATGAATTATGGCATGGTACTATTGGAAACAATAAATCTGTTAGCATGCCATGGTAATAATTCACATGGTGAACCCTCAGTCAATGCCGTGAAAGTGAGGGATGAGAGATGAGAAGGGGCACAGATGTGGTTCATGAAGGATAGTTTAGAATTAGTATCACTGATAGGTATGAAGAGCAAGGGAAAAAGAAAATTCTGGGACAAATCACAGGTTTCTGACTTAGGTCAATGGTGGCCAGTCACTTTCAGGAAGAAGAATAGATTCTGGAATACCAGCTTTAGTGAGGGCACTAATCCCTTCCCCCTGCCCACTCCAATTTATATTCACTTCCAGAAAGGATGAATGGGATTTTGGTGTAATACGAAGACAGGTTGGCCAGGCGTGGTGGCTCATGCCTGTAATTACAGCACTTTGGGAGGCTGAGGCAGGCAGATCGCTTGAGCCCATGAGTTCGAGACCAGCCTGGGCAACACGGTGAAACCCTGTCTCTACAAATAATACAAAAAATTAGCTAAGTGTGGTGGCACATGCCTGTAGTCCCAGCTATTCAGGAGGCTAAGGTGGAGGATCGCTTGAACCCAGGAGGTGGAGGTTGCAGTGAGCCATGATTATACCCCTGCACTCCAGCCCAGATGACAGAATAAGACTCCACCTCAAATAAAACAACAACAACAAAAGGTCAAGAAATTGAGCAAGGTGCTGTATTTTTCAGCACCTCAGGCATCCTGATCATTTTTACTTACTTGTTTAGATTGCTCATGTCAGAGTGCCTTAAGGTGTATACACTGCCTCACAGCTTAGTTGCCTATGAGGGGTTTGGGTCCAAAAACCTCACTGGTTAGCAGTAAAAAGCTTAAAAAAATTTATAATTCCAGACATTTCCCCATTTCCACCG